AGCGTTCTGGGTGCCGCCCCTCCCAGAACTCTCCAGACTCTTCTGGGGCTTGCTGGGCTTGCAAAGCTTCGAGGAGGGCGGGGGTCGGCGCGAGGAGGTGGGAGGGGCTGGCAGGGCCGGAGGCAGGGCGGGGGCGGGTATGTTGACGCTGGTTCCCCAGACGCGTTACAATGGGGGTGCTGCCTCTGACCTCATGGGCTATTTAGGAATCGGGATGGTAGGGGATGGTAAGTCCGGAGTCCGCTCAAAGTTGTAGGGCAGGGCGGGGCGGGTGGGGGGTGGGGGAACACCGGCTGCGCCGTTTGGATGTTAAAGGAGCCCCCCACGCACAGGGGCTCCGCAGTTGGAACATTATTAAACTGGATCGAAGGCGGCGGCACTATAGGTGAGCCAGGAGGGCTCTGATTGAAATGGAATGATAATAGGCAAGACTAGTAGATCCATGTTTGAGAAAGTGCTGGAAAGTTCTGTAGTTTCAATCTATAGGGTGCATTGACTAATCAGGGAAGGGGGAATCCTTTGGTAAGGAGTCAAGGTGGGTGGGATTTGTCAGAGCTGCTGGAAAGAAGTGGAGGAGCTGATCTGTTAATGTCTTCAGATAGTTTTATTCCAGAGAAGATTGGAGAGATTGCTTGTCACGCTCTATCTCGTCTGAGAAAGTTTGTGAGGGTTAGATTAGGTTCCTAGTAGCCATTTTCAGACTAGCCCAATAGTATGCCAACTAATGCCTAATGGAGGGTAAAGGAGTTGTGGAAGGTAGCTAAACCGAAAGATGGAGATTAATGTCTGGTGAAGGGACCAGAACATAAGATAATCTTAGTTCAGCAGGAGACAGTTACAATCTCAGAATAAAATATCACAGATAAAGAAACAGGACAATGAAGTTACACTCTGTGAAAATTAAACAGAATATATGCCAACTGTCCTCCCTCTTACTTCCAATTCGCTAAGAATACTTTAGTCCAAAAAGCACTCTCCGTGAGAGAAGAGACTGGAATAGTTGTACACTAGCAATAAACTTGTTCATGGAGTTTATGACAGCACTATTCTCAATAGCCATAAGGTAGAAGCAGCCCAAGTGTCCAAGGAAGGAATGAATATACAAAATGTGCCCCATATATAATGCCCCTATATATATATATAATTAATATTATTCAGGCTTAAGTAAACTCTGACACATGCTGTAACACATACTTGAACTTTTGAGGATATCTTGCTAAGTGAAAAAAAAAAAACAGTTACAAAAAGAAATTACTGTATAATTGTATTATTATGAAGAACTAGAGTAATCAAATTCATAGAGACAGAAAATAGAATAGTTGTTGTCAGGGGCTGGAGAGAGAAGGGGAATGGAGGTTTGTTTAGTGAATATAGAATTTCAGTTTTGAAAGATAAAAAGATTTTTGGAGGTTGTTTGGCCAGCAATGTGAATGAACTTACTGCTAAACAGTACACTTAAAAAATGGTTAGGATGGTAAATTTCACATTATGTGTATTTTAGTACAATGGAAAGTAATAAGGGTGCCTGGATGGCTCACTCCGTTGAGCATCCAACTCTTTTTTCAGCTCAAGTCATGATCTCAGGATTGTGGGATCAATCCTGTGTTGAGTTCCATGCTGAACGTGAATCCTGTTTAAGATTCTCTCTCTGTTCCTCTGCCCCTCTCCCTTGCTCGTTCGTGTCCTCCATCTGTCTCTCTAAATTAAAAAAGTAATAAAGTAAAAAAAAAAAAAAAGCACTCTGCCAAAACTTTATCTCATTTTTTTCTTCTCAGGCCTCGGAAGACCATGGCTGCTGCTAAGGGAATGGCCATTGGCATCGACCTGGGCACCACCTACTCATGCGTGGGGGTGTTCCAGCACGGTAAGGTAGAGATCATTGCCAATGACCAGGGCAACCGCACCACCCCCAGCTATGTGGCCTTCACCGACACGGAACGGCTCATTGGGGATGCGGCCAAGAACCAGGTAGCCATGAATCCCCAGAACACTGTCTTTGACGCCAAACGTCTGATTGGCAGGAAATTTAATGATCCTGTAGTGCAGGCAGATATGAAACACTGGCCTTTTCAAGTAATCAATGAAGGAGGCAAGCCCAAGGTAACAGTGTCCTACAAAGGGGAGAAAAAAGCTTTCTATCCTGAGGAAATCTCTTCTATGGTACTGACAAAGATGAAGGAGACTGCTGAGGCCTTTTTGGGCCACCCTGTCACCAATGCTGTGATAACTGTGCCAGCTTATTTCAATGATTCTCAGCGTCAAGCCACCAAGGATGCAGGTGTGATTGCGGGTCTCAATGTGCTAAGAATTATCAATGAACCCACAGCTGCTGCCATTGCATATGGCTTAGATAAAGCAGGTCAGGGAGAGCGACATGTCTTGATCTTTGACCTGGGTGGAGGAACATTTGATGTGTCCATCCTGACCATAGATGATGGAATCTTTGAAGTAAAGGCCACAGCTGGGGACACCCACCTTGGTGGAGAGGACTTTGACAACAGGCTTGTGAGCCACTTTGTGGAGGAATTCAAGAGGAAGTACAAGAAGGACATCATCCAGAACAAGCGAGCCGTGAGGCGGCTGCGCACCGCCTGCGAGCGGGCCAAGAGGACCCTGTCGTCCAGCACCCAGGCCAACTTGGAAATTGATTCACTTTATGAAGGCGTCGACTTCTACACGTCCATCACCAGAGCCCGATTTGAAGAGTTGTGTGCAGAC